GCAAGCACCTGGGTCTTTATTCTTACCATCAAGCTGCAACAACATGTTTGTTTTCAGAAGATTTTTGGCTCGTTCAACTTCACTCTCAGTGACGCTTGTACAGAGTCGCATCCTAAAAAATATTTGAAAACTTGGTATTGTAAAATAGTTGGAAAATGTTACATGATCTTTTCAGTTAATGACATAAGGGAAGATAACATATTCTACATATTTTATCACAAAATACAAGAGATTTAGTAAAAAGTTGAAATTACTAATTTCAGAACTAAGGAAGAGCTAATATCACTTTTCCAGGTAATTGTTCACAAATTATTTACATAAATGTGTAACTGCTTATTAGCAAAGGCTTGACACAATGTCTTTAAAATAGACTGACCAATCTTGACATTTGGTCAGGGATAGGTCAGTGGGTCATTCATTGCTTTCTCAAGAAAATCAGATGAACTTAAATACAGTAATTAAATTAATAATTACATCCTAGGTGACTAGATTGAGGTAAGCCAGTTAAGAATAGTGGGAATAGAAAAGAAAAAAAATAGCCAAGGAAAGGAAATAGAGCTAAATAAAACTTCAAGAAGCTGTGAGCCTTTGTCTCAGTCTACTGACTTAACTAGTCTTTAAACATGTTTTCTTTTGGCAACTTCAGATTCACTTCTGTAATTCTGGTTTTCCAAGCTAGATAACTTAGAAATATTTTCTAGTTGACTTTTAAACTTCTAGAATATTCTTTATGAAGTAATCTGCTTCTCAAAGACTGAGAACTTTTTGTAGTATAAACCAGCTTCACGTAAGGCTTAGAAGAAACATCTATGATCTAGGCCAACCACTGGTACTGCTTTAAAAGCTAAAGTTATATTAGAAATTAACCTAAAATACGAATCTCAGGCAAGGTTTAAAGTAGTTATTGTCTCACCATTCTCTTTGAACAACATGTAGCATGTCTGCAACTGTGGCTGGTTCACAAACCATATAGAGTCCCCATAATCCTGTGTCTGTATAGGAAGTGTTGAAAGACTGGAAGCTGTGGCAGAGATTGCCATGACATGTGAGCTGGGCCAGCTTGCTAGATAAATTCTGTAAGGACAATAGTACAAGAGAATTGTGGGTACATGTGTCCAAACTACCAGGAAAAAAAAAAAAAACAAGACATAGCAACTAGAGAATACCCAATACTCAGTTTTATGCAGTAACAGCTTAACAGTAAACTTAAAATTCAATTAATCTGATTATTATGCTCATCTGGCCCAATATTAGTGTAAAAGCAGTGAACCCTTACAATTAATGTAATAGCTGCACCTACTTATAAAATACTACATTGTTGTTACCAACCCATTAGTGGGCGCTTGATTACATATGCTTAAAGATTTGAAATTACACTGCACATGAAGCCTAAGACATCTATATGAAATGTACTTTAGAGAAATCTTTCAGAAGCCTATATTCTTTGCATTTTTAAATTTCAGACTTAGTTGTAAAAATAGTACAAAGAATTTCCTTGACCCAAATTTCTTTAATAGCTGTTATTTTACTATGCTTGCTTCATCTTCATACGTTTTTTATTTAACAGTTTGACAGTAAGCTGCCCCTAATTTATTTATTCATTTTTTAGCAATTGATTGGTATTAGTGCTTGAACCCAGGATTTCACATAGTAGGCAAGTCCTCTTACCTTGTGAGTCGACCCACCCCTGCAGCCTTTTCTTTTTTTGTTGTTTTTGTTTCTGACACAGGGTCTCAGGTTGATTCTCCTTTCCACCTCCTGGGTAGCTGAGATTATAGGCATGTACTACCATGCCTACTTATGCCCCTAAATTCTTTAGTGTACACTAATGAAAACCAAGGAATTTTTCAGTCATACTAAGTATTATTAACTATTACATTAGCAACTGTTATTTTCACAGTAACTAGTAACTAATTCCTCTGCTTTACTTTACCAATTAAATTATCCCAATAAACTTGTGTGGCAAGATGACCTTTCTGAGTCAGATGCAATCCAGGATCCATTTATAAGTCAAAAGTCACAGTACAAATCTCCATCTTTCCACTTAAAAAAAACCTCACATTTAAGAAACATGACAACTCTTCCACATGTAATAGTTGTACAGGGAGATACACTGTGATATTTACAGTGTATCTTAGATTTATCCCCTCTTACATTCTCCCTCCTCCTCAGAACAATTTCAACAGATTTCATTCTTCTACTGAAAAGTTACTTTCAAAATCACTTACCATTCCCCCTCCAAAAGAGCGATCCCAGTTGCCAATCAGTGTGTTTGCAACCATGAGACAGATGGTATCTGGATGTGCCCAACCAACAGCTTCAACAGCTATTGCAAGATGTGCCAGAGGCATCTTGTCATCCCTCACACGAATCTAGTAAAGAGAAAGAAAAAAAGCAGCTCTCACTAAGATAACTACTATATGGTATGTTTATTAACAAGAAAAATAAGTTCACTGGTCCCACAATTGTGAAGTTAAAACAGTATGGCTCTCTTTTGTTTTTTAAACTATCAGGCCTCGTTATGCTATTTAGTTTAGAAGAATTTCATGAGTAAAGGAATAATTACTTTCACCAACAGATTTCCAACTGAAATACTACAGGTAATCAACAGTCAAAAATGGTTGCATTATTTCCCTGGAGAAATTAATTGTCAATCTAAATTTTTCTATCTAAATTTAAACTAATACATTATAGGTTTATCTTTGTACTTCTACTGCTACTGTTTTACATAGGAGCCAACACTTAATGCTATAACTATTCAGTGCAGATTTCCTGCAAGTTCTGGCTCTTAACATTAACTCCACAAATATACTGTGGCAGCAGAATATAGCCAAGAATAAACCCAATGTGAAAGTCAAAATTTAGTTTTTAATTATAAGGTTATTTATATACCTTACTGTCTATAAGCAGACATGCCACCAAACAAAAAGCATAAAAGGACCAAATTAAAGCAGTGCTTTTAAAACCTTGCTTCTTTGGGAAAGAAAAACAAGAAGTTAAGTAATAGGGAATAGGAGGGACGGTATGCCCATCCTCTTCCCTTTTCTGTGTTACCATTCAGACATCTGGCATTTATTCCTATTGGAAAGATGGACATTTTGTACACTCATTTGCAAATGTAGCACAAGATACCCAAAAGGCTAAATTCTAGGTAGGAGGCTTGCCCTACCTCACTTCCTGTGAATTTGCAGGGAGGCAGAGCTGGTATATCTCCTTTATGTGAACACAAAGAGTCACCAAAATGAAATTTTGCTAACTCAAGCAGTTCATCGTGGGAAACACCTAAATTGAAGGAAAATGTTTTCATATGTATCTAACAGCAATACAATCTAAATCAGAAAACTAGCTGCCAATACTTTGCTTTACAATAAACTCTAGGTGGTGATTGTACATTACACATGAACTATTTGCACTAAGAGCCATTTAAGATGAAATGGCTCATAGCACACTAGGTGTTAAATAAGGCTTCGGTTGCATAGCTCTCATTATGTAAAGCAACTGAGAGCATTTACCAATGTATTCATAGCTAAAGATAGTAAGAGCCTGAAAATAATATTCTATAGTAAGTTACCAAAAATCCTATGATGCAACTAGCAAAATCATGTTATTTTTTAAAGTGGGAAAGAATACAAATGTGTAACTCCATCTCATTTAAAGAGTTACGAACACAGATACATGCTTCATTCTTGGAACAAAATAGTTTCATCTAAATTTTCTAGTACATTCATAACAATCTACGTTCATTACTTGACAGCCAAACTTTAGAATTAGATCTATATTCTTTATGATCCCAAACATAGGACCCAAACAGATTCAGCCAGTGAAGAAGTATTAAACACAAATATAAACTTACAAAACAGACACATGGAAGTGTTTTTATTTTTGAGACAGCATCTTTCTATGTAACCTCAGTTGGCCTCGAACTCTAAATCCTCCTGCCTCAGCCTTCCAAGCGCTGGGATTACAGATGTATACCTCAGTGCCAGCTTGTGCAAGTGCTTTAAAAAACACTGCCATAAGATTTTTTTAATGAAATTTATTCTATTATAATATAAAAATGCAACTTATACCTATATTTTTCAACTAGACCTGTGGTGTACAACAAGATAGCATATGATAGTACACTGTTTTTGGAATCACTATATAGAAGAGTTAACTCAGCTATCGATCCTGAGTGACAGTACTAACAGATCATGGCAGTACAAGGACATTAGATACACAAAGTGAAAAACTGAAGCACACAGTTCTCAGCTTCAGAACTGTGAATGATTCAAGAATGATTGTCTTGAAGACAATCATTTTCATTGTTTTATTATCTTCACCAACTAAGCCTCTTGGTCAGACATGCCAAGGCTTGTGCAATCTTTACTTTAAAAAAAAAATAAAATAGCCAGGGGGCTCACATCTGTAACCCTACCTACTTGGGAGGCTGAGACTGGGAGGATCACAGTTGTAGGCCATCCTGGGCAAACAGTCTGTAAGGCCCCATCTCCAAAATAACCAGAGCAAACTGGACTGGAGCTGTGGGTCAGGCAATAGAGTGCCTGCTTTGCAAGCATGAAGCCCTGAGATCAAACCCCAGTCCCACCAAAACAAAAAAAAGGAGGACATGAAAATTTGACAAATTATAGCTATTTATCCTGAAGATTAACAGCTCAGTGGTAGCTGAGATAATCAGAAATCAGCACAGAATTAAACTGGCCTATTTCACTGAACTGAAAATGCCATTTATAAGACACATCAACAACATGTATCAATACAAGAGAATGGTACTTATCTGTCACTAAGATACCCCAACTTTAACAATACTTGAGAAAAAGAAAACTAGAAACTAATTAAAATGTACTATTTGCCTAAATTCAGCCTGTCAGGAAATCTGGCAGAATCGAAGTGAATTTTTTTCATTGACTAACTTCACATGTCCCCCAAGGAACTCTAATAGCATGTTTGAATTCATATTACACATTCCCATGGCTCTCTATGTACTTCCTCCTTCTCAGTGATAAGTAGATCTCGAGTGAATGAATGACTGTGTTCATAAAGAGTGACCATACCCATTCCACACTTGGACAAGGATGAAGCCATTTCTCAAAAAGTAATTTAAAAGTTCAAGAGATTCTCTAACTGCAGAACACTAGATTCCAAGCACAACTATCTCCCAGTTTACTGATTAAGCCTTGTCTTGTAAGTAAATTCCACTATGTTTATACACTTATGTATCAAATAGTTCAATAAGTTTTTCTATAAAAGAGATGAAGACAGGAGTCTGGTTCTAGCACTGTACATTCCCCTAACACAACACATGTAAAACATTTTGCTCTGTAAATAAAAACTCTTAGGATATCTCCCAACAGGACCAAATTGATAAGCAAACCACTCCAATAAATGTATTTAAGACATTTATAGAAATTTAAATTGACTAACCTCCAGCAGCAGCAAGCACTATTCTTGGTCCCTTATAATGTGTGGTGATATAATCCACTAAGTCCTTACGATTTATAGATCTGTAAATGAAGTAAAGCAATTTTAGGAGGAAATAAAGCCATACATCTTTACATAATATACCTGAAATCAAATTGGATCTTAAAGGTATTCTAAGAGTTAAAAGCAGTCAAACAGGCAACAAGTATTAAAAAACTTCAACTGTTTGGTATAAAGGAAGACAGACTTGACACTTTTTTATTCCAAAAGTGTCTGAGTTCAAACACCTGGGAAATATGTGAGGTCTAAATTTATGCAGATTATCAGGAGAAAAATGACTTTTTGAAACACAATCTAAATTTGAGTTTGTAAATGTTGTAAATTTTAGCCTAAATTTTTTAAACTGAGAAATATACCTACTTGATATTCTCAGTTGGTCCCAAAATTGTCCGTCCAAGTGCAGTGTTTTGATAAGCTGTGGCATGTAGATAATCAAAAACAACTTCCTGTAAATTGGTTTCAACTTCTTGCATCTCTCTAAGGATTACTCCACGCTCACGCTCAATCTCTGCTTCTCCCAGTGTACTGTTTTGTATTATATCAGCAAGAATTTCTACAGCTAATTGAAATGAAAACATAAGAAACACTAACAAACCTTAACTTTTGCTTTAAAATCTCTTAAACCAACATTAGAAAACATAACAATCATTCTGTTAATGACTAAATAAAATGAACCTGAGGAGAAATTTTCCATCTATTTGATATACCTAAAAGGACTATTAAAATTAAAAATAGAAAACTCTGTGATACAGAAGAGCTCTGGGAAAAATCCTAAACCATCACTTTGCACTGACTCTACCTGATTAGAAAATGCCATGCCATGGAACTCTGCATATTAAGAGATTGTTCTATATGAAAATTACAAAGTAAAAAATTGTATTAGAAAATACACAGACATGTACAGAGGTTCACATCGCTCAAGTATTTTCTACCCAAGTTCCCAATGAGGCTGCTATATAAAGAAACACTATAATCTGAAATATGTTCCCAATGGACACTTCAATAATTATGTCCTCTCAAGCTGTGATTTGCTAAAAAGCCAAAAGCAAATGTTATGAGAAAAATTACATACCTCTCCAAAAACCTAATTCATTCTTGTAGCAATCAAAATCTAAATTTTATTAAATACAAAATGAATTTATAATCTTAAGTTTTGGTTTTTGCTCTCTTTAAGGTACCGTGTCTCTGAACCAATTATATTCAAATACCAAGAACATGATTAAGCTGAAGAAAAAAAAAGAGCAAGCTGAAATGAGATCTTGACCAAAGGGGGAAAAAAAATACCCAGTTATTTCATTAAAAAAAAAATATTTTTATCAGTAAAACCCATCTGTCTAGATGAGAGAACCATAAATAATCAAAGAGGACAGGGCTGGTGGAGTGGCTCAAATGATAGAATGCCTGCCTAGCAAGTGTGAGGCCCTAAGTTCAAACCCTACTACCACCATCCCCTCACCCCCCAAAAAAAAAGACAATGGTGAGGAAGATCCCACTGACAGATGGGAGGTCCTGTGTAAAGATCTTCCTTCACAGGAAGTTGGTAATCTAGACTGGTAGTTTCCAGAGTGGGGGGGTTCCTATTTCCTAGTATTTATGTTTTAATCTAAATCTGTATTTCTTTTTTAATGTGTATTTAATATTGTACATTAGTGTAATAGCACATGTGTTTCATTTACAAATATACAGACCTCTAATTACCTCATGCAACAGATTCATCCAGCTAAGAGGATAAAAATCTCAAGCACATCTCTAAAGGTAGAGCTGCTTCAGAGAACACATACACTTTGGGTTTCTCAAAGAGCCTGTTCTGCTTTTCCACTGAGTAGCAGGGGCTCTATTCTTCCCAGCCAGAAGCCAGGAGGAAAAAAAAAAAAAAAAAAGATCTTTTAACTTCTCCCTTTTCCTACTACTCTATTGCTTTCCATACTGTTCTGTGTAAATACAGGAAGGAGGTAGTCTAGAAAAACAACTCTTTAAAGAACTGTGCCCTACCTCTTTATTCTTGATCCCCCAAAATTAGTTCTGGAGCAAAAACTGTTACTAAAGAAATCATTAAGAATTTTTACTGTTGGGGGCTACAGGTGTGATTCAAGTGGTAGAGTGCCTGTTTTACAAGCGTGAAGCCCTGAAGCCCTGATTTCAAATTCCAGTCCCACCAAGA